CATAGAAACTTGGTCTTTACTTAGAGTTCAGTTTGATACAGTATTGTTGATTGTTTATCATAATGATGATGCAGTGTAAGATCTGAACTGAACAAAATGCAGGGAGATTATTATGTATGATTCTTTTCTCAGATACTTGAAATGAATATTTGTAACTTCATAAATTCATGAAGATTTAGTCCTTCACCTGTTCACATATATATATCTGTAAGCACATGCACAAATGTAAAAGAAAAAAAAAAAATAACAGAAAATATGTAATACAAATATAAACCATAGGATTGGTGTCAGTTAAGGAAATGAAACTAGTTTTTATCTACAATGAAGATGAACCTGATTGAAGCATTCTGTTGTTTGCAAAAAACATTTTGACTTATTTTAATGTGAAGAGTCTAACTTACTCTAAGCATTAGTGTGTATGACTATGCGCATTGTGTGTATATATATATATATATATATATATATATATATATATAATATATATATATATATATATATATATATATATATATATATACACACACATATATGTGGATGTACAGATGCATATATAGATATACACATATTTACATATGTAGATACACATCTATGCATATATAGATATCTCCTTGATGACAGGCACGGCTATGGCCATCATGATGTAACAGCCTATGACGTGTAAACATGTCATGACTTACAGCGGGTGGGCTGGCTGTACACAGCTTAGGCTCCACCCCCCACACACCCACATACACAAATGCAAGTGCAAACATACACACGCACACACATACACTCGTACACTCACACATACTCACACACACACACACACACACCACACACACACACACACACACACACACACACATACACACACACACATACATTCATGCACACACACACATCACTCGTGCACAGACACACATACAATCATGCACACAAACACTCACACACACACACACACACACACACACACACACACACACACACACACACACACACACACACACACACACACACACACACACACACACACACACACACACACACATATGCACACACCTAATTGTTTTTTCTGTCTGTTTTGTTAATTTGTATAAGCACTAACCTGTGAAACTGTATACAGAATGTAAACTGGAATTTAGTGTAATGTTCCACAGACTAACACAGGCATGTAAAATGGTGACAGCATAATATGTGATACAGTGTCATTCACATCTGCATGCTGTAATGATGTCCCAGATACATTTGTATTTTACCCTTCACACTGCAAGAATTATATGAATAAATATAATATGATATAATATGAATGATATAATAATATAACCATATCATGGTTTCCAACTTCCTTAATGATATCCTGATCCTTTATATCATCTGATATGTAGATAAGTATGCAATATTGTATTAACACATGGTTTTGTGGTATTTACATTTGTTTATGTTTATTTTTTACAAACCCATCTTTATATGTAGCTTCACTTGGTATAGGTCTGTGGAATATTTCCATCCATGTTCATGCAGTGTGAGGGATGCAAGATGCAAGCAAAAATCCACATAGTCATCATCAAAATAAAAAAAAAACAGTGTTCATGAAGGTATAATGTTATTTTTAGAAATGAATCTTGGTACTTTGATCATTTTATTTTCTAAGCTTCATTCATTTTTGCAAGGCATTGAAAAATCAGCAGTTATGCACATTTATTTTTTGCAAGACTTACTTTCTCATTCTGATCAGCATCAGCTTATGTTGATCTGCAATGACTCCTCATATTTCCAAAATGCTTTTTTCTAATCATAGTCTTTTTATTCCATCAGATGGCTTTGCATTCTCGCAAGAAGAGCACGGAGTGATGGGCCAGTCGGAAGTTATCCGGGCCTATGACACAACCCAACCCAAACCAGGTGGTATGTAAGCTGATGGAGTTCAACAGGAAGATTCCTAAGAGTGTTGTATTCCTATTTATCACACTATGGTCACATTTTGGTCACAAATATGTACTCACACAGTTTTTGAATTTACAATGAAAATAAAAGTACATGTTAAGGTAAGAGGAAAAGTGAGTAAAAAGGCATAATGGAAATGAACTGAATGATAAAAGACAGAATTTGATCTACTTAATTTATAATCTCTGTATGGCCTGTTAGATACCAAAGGTTTTCTAGTCTTCTGTCATTCCTTCCAGTTGCTTTCTTTTGGCAGTGTAATTATTCAAAATGTACACCGGCAGACACAAGCTTGTCACAAAACATGATACTTGAGATCTCAGAATGTTAACAGTTGAGTAAATAATTTATGATCTTTAACAAACTTGTTTTTTAGGCTTCTTTATGGTTGTGTTTTTATGCGTTTGTAACATGATTACAGTTTTGTGTCATTTTAGCATGTTACCAGAAGGCCAATGTCACTTTTTGTAGGTGATAATTAATTGCTCTGGAGGTTAACTGAATGTGTGAATTATTAACTAAAAACTAGAATTCTGGAATGACTTGAGCGTGCAGCAGCATTAGAATTTTGTATAATTCCAGAAGAAATCAGGATTCATACCACCCTGAAAATTCCACATGAGGACCTAACAAATAATATGATATTATCTTTGTCCTCTTGGAAGTATGAGGAACTTATCAACAGGTAAAGATATATGAATTTATGTTGGAATGTTCATATAGTTGGTGTTAAGTTAGTTGAATAAATACCATGTTTAAATGTTTAAAGTTTAAACCAGTGTTTGTGAGAATCTTAACAGTTAAATGATAACAAAACAACAGAACATTCTGAAACACAGCAGTTATTTTCAGTGTTGAGTTTGAGGGGTGTTGACGAACTGTACTGCAATCATGAACACCAACAACTTAAACACAAACGGAATTCATGCCAGTTGATGATATATGCAAACAAAAGTTATACATTGTTCATTTGTGGAGAGTCTGGATAATGAAAGAAAATAACGAATTCTAAATCCTAGAAAATTATAGAAAATCTGAATGGTAATTTGTGTGTAATATTTGTATAATAACACTTAATTTGTCCTTGCTTTATATAAAAATACACATGTAGGTTTTTCATTATGCACTCTAATTATTTAAAGAATTGGAAGTAAGACCTAACAGTCAAATGAACGAGAATTTAAAATTTGAACAGCACACTCTGATCCTGGCACCAGTAACCAAGACTTATAGTAAAGGATGCTCTTCACATAATGCAGTCATTAATGTCAGTGGTATAAAGTCTCTTTCTAGCTGAAAATTACATTATGGGTAGAATATGTAATTGAATTTACATTGGATTAATTTGCAATTGCAAAGGTTGCAAATGAGTACAGTTGTATTCTCTGTATGATTTTGATAAACTAGGAAGAACATAAACTGAAGATAGGATTAAATCAATAATTGTCCAGCCAATTTTACAGACTTTGTATAGGAATTTGAGTAGTAACTTTCTATAGATGAAGACTATAAATTTTTCTTCAAATGAAGGTATTGCACATGGCTATCATTATCGTCAACTAAGAGAACTTGTCATTTAATTAGAGTAGGATCCTCCATGTAAAAAAAAATGAAGCCCCACATGTGCCTGATAGTCCAAGATGATGTACCTAGGTGTTGAAATGACAGACAAGCAGTTTAGAAGAATTTAGAGAGAGTGAGAAAAAAAGATAAACATAAAATCTACTTTTGATACTAGCAAGACTTTGGTATTACTGAGCAACACAGGTGCATAAAGCCAAGAGGTATATACTGGCTAATTGGTCAAACCCATCTGGACTATTGTAGGTGTTTTGGGAAGGCATCATTGGCACTTAGAATAATAAAACAAAATCTAATTGCAGACTTTTTTGTAAAGTAATGGAAGTATATTATGAAGAGATGGATTTTGATACAAAAAAGAGTCACTGTTTAACCAATGGTACTTGAGTATAAGTAAGAAATACTGTAAAGCTGTGTTGATTAAATTAGATCATTCTTTCATTTGATTATCTTGTATAAACAGATATATGTCATGGAAGATAAATAAACCTCTTCAAGTTGATGATGGTAGTTAGAAGTAATATGGAAGCTTTGCAAATCTTCCATGGTCACTATACCATAAAGGTCACAGGATGTTTTTCCGTGTGATATGTTCCTTCCTACAAATATGACATTTTTCCAGTAGGGAATTTATATGTGGTCTGCTATATGGATTGTGTCTGTGTTGTCTAGTTACGATGGGTGTGTATCACTGTGTGTGGCCCTTTGCAGTGATCCTTATTCTGGCCTGCCATCATACATCTCTTGCTGATTCATCTTTTGTGATTGACTTAATGGTACAATTCTTCACTTTAGATGAATGAGAGTAAAGGTAACAAGATAATAAAAATTCTTTCATACTGCACCCTTAATACCAAGAGAGGATGTTCTATAGTCTATTGTGCCAGGATAAGTTGGTATATTAGTCAACTCTTGTCACATATGCTAAATTTTTAATGTACTTAATGGGAAGAGAAAATATAAAGATTTAGGTTTATTGAAAAAATGATGTGTATTTGTCTTCTATTCTTGTTTCATATGTATGTGTGTTATGTGTGTGTGTTTGTATGTATGTACATGGCAATGAGACAGATAGGATATTTACCTGTCTGTCTATTGACTTCCTTGTGGTATTGGGCGCTGAATATCAAATCACCTGCTCTGTGTCCGTGGGTTATTGTACGACATGTCAGACAAATGCCTGAAGTCCCTAGATAGTATTGACATTTATCTGAGGTTATCCCCTACTTTACCTTTGATATTATATATCTAATAATAAGTTATCAGAATGCAATGAGTAGTATGACAGAGTATTTCTTAAAAAGGCTTCACATCATTGTAAGTTGAGTTAAAGCTACCTGATAGATAAATATTATATTTTGCATAATCAGCTTTATATGTTTTCCACTGAATTCCCCTCCCTCCACCTGCCCTTTCCCCAACTTGATTTGATATTTTAAATTATAAATATTTTATTCCCCAAGAAGCAAGAAAAATGAGTATTCTTGCAATATGTAGTTGATGGGTAACAGAAAACAGTGCAGATATTGTTGACTTGTGGAGCTTCATTTAATATTTTTGTAACATATATCATGTTCAAAATATTCAGGCAGGTCTTAATATTGTGTTGTGCATGTATCAAAGGAATTCTAATTACATGGTTATAAGTCTTGAAGCATTGTTTGATTTACTCTATCATCCTTATACAATTATCAGATGGACACATATTACATGGAAAATTGGTAGATGAAAAGTGAAAATCACTTTCATGTGAATGAAAAAAGTAACTTGTCACTTAGAGGCAATCTTGTTTACAGTGGAACAAATCATGTCAAAACCAATTGCAAACTTTTCAAATACACAAGAAGTAGAATCAGATGCGAACATATGATAATTAAATTATTTAACAATGAGAAGTGAGGAAGGGTCTTCAATATCTGCAAGCGATGCAGTAATCATTCCGAGTGATCCAGTTTTCACTCGTTCTTATGAGTATAAGGAATCATTCAGACTTCTAGTGATGAACTGGGTAATTTGATTGCAATTCAACAGATATATACAATATATATATATATATATATATGTATATATATATATATATATATATATATATATGTATATATGTATGTATGTATGTATGTATGTGTATATATTAAAAATGACAGTAACAAAATTCATTATGCTAAGCCTACATCCTAAAATGATGGCACAGTAATAAAGCTGATGATACGACGGTACTACTATCGCTCCTGCTAAGAACAATAACTATAATAAAGATCATACATGCAAAAATGACAGTTACAACATTTATGTTGATAACCCTATGATGTCAGTGATACTAATGAATATTTAAATTAAAAAATGAAAGTATAAGCTGCACAATGATTGGAAATCTCGATACTGCTTTTAATCCCAAAACTTAATCATTCCAAGGCAAGATTCCCTTAAAGGCTGCTTCTACATTTACGACTTTTTATTCAATACCTCATATCTCTCTCTCTCCCTCTCCCTCTGTTTTTTCTTCTTTCGTTTTACTTATCTCTCTTTTTGTATGTCTCCACCTTCATCGCCTTAATCCCTACTGGGGCTTGCCAGTCGAATTCGCTGCCTCCAACATGCTCTGTCCTGTCCTCCTCGTTCAAGTCTCATTTCCAGCGTATCATCCATCATATAGGCAGAAGCTGGCATTTCACGGTGCATTCTCATTCATTCTCTCTCTCTCTCTCTCTCCCTCTCCCCCCCCCCTCTCTCTCTCTCTCTTCTCTCTCTCCTCTCCTCTCTCTCTCTCTCTCTCTCTCCTCTCTCTCTCTCTCTCTCTCGTCGTAGTCTCTCAGTCAGTCTTGGTGCTCTCTCTCATCTCTCTCTCTCGCAGTCTGTCTATGCATCTCTCTCCTCTTCTCCCGTTCCTCTCTCTCCCTTGCCTCTCGTCGGTTCACGTTCTCTCTCTCCTTTCTCTACGTCTTCCTCTCGCTCCTTTCCTCTCTCTCTTCTCTTTCCTCCACCCTCTCGCTCTCCCTTCTCTATCCTCCTCTCACTCTCCTCTGAGTGTCACACGTCTGCTCTCCTTCCTTCAAGCCTCTCTCTCGGTTCCTCCTCTCCTTCTTCCCTCTCCTTCCTCTCTTCCCCCTTCTCGCGTCCTCTCTCTCCATGCATTCCCTGCCCGTTTTGCCTCCCTCACACTCGTCACTCGCGCTACCGTTGGCTCCTCTCCTTCTCTCTCTCTTCCGCGTGGATCCGCACTTCGCATCTCTCTCTCTGCTCGTGCACTACGGTGCCGATCTCCTATTCCTCGAACGTTCACTTCTCGGCCTTCCTCTCCTCTCCTTCGGTCTCCCTCTCGCTCTCTTTCACACTCCTCTCCATCTGGCTTCTATCGCCTGCTCGTCGCACGTCTCATGCCCGCCTCTCCCTCTCGACTCTCGCAACCTCCCTGTCCCTTCCCTCAGTCCTCGGGTAACCACCCGCCAGGATCTACCTCTTGCCTGCTCTCTCTCACCTGTGCCTCTCTGCTTAGGGCTCTCACCGATCTCCCTCGCTTCTTGCTGCGTACGCCCTCTCCTCTCACCTCTCCGTGTCCCTCTCACCTACTCCTCTCTTCTCGGCTCCACTGCTCATTCCTCTCTCCTCTCCTCTCCGGCTCCTGTCCTGCTCCACACACTGCTTACCTCGTTAACTCCACTCTGCGCGCTAGTTCCTTCTGGCTCTCTCGCTCTCCCTCTCACCCCCGTCTCTCGTCACTCTCCCTCTCGCCTTCCTAATCATCTCCCTCGTCTCATCCTTCCCTTCTCTCCTCTCTTCTTTATCCTCTCCCTCTCTCTTCCCTTGCCTTCTCGTCTCTCTATTCCTCTTACCTTCATCAACTCTCTCCTCCTCTACCCGTTCCTCGTGCTACCCTCCCTCTCTTCCTCTCTCTCTCTCCCTCTTTACTCTCTTCGTGCATCTCCATCTCCTTCATGTTCTCTCCCTCTCGCTCACCTTCTGGGTTCCTCACCTCTCTGCCTCCCTTTCTCTCTCTCTCCTCTTCCATCTCTCTGTCCTCTCTCTCCTCTCCCTCGCTTCCTCTTCCCCCTCCTCTACTCTATCTCTCCTCTCCGTCTCCCCTTCCTGGATCTCTCTTCCGTACTTGCTTCCTCTCTCATCCCTCTCCCTCTCGTCCTGCTCCTCTGCTCCGTCTCTCCGGTTCCGTCTCTCTCGGTCCTCTCGCTCTCCACTGGTCCTCTCGTGCTCCCTCCCTCGCTCTCTCTCTCGTCTCTCCCTCTCCTCTCTCTGGCTCTGCCTTCTCTCTTCCCTCTCCCGTCTCCTTCTCTCTCTCACCTCTCGCTCTCCCTTCCTCTCGTCTCCTCGCCTTATACACTTCCTCTCTCCGAATGGCTGCTCATCGGCCTCAATCTTCCTTAATGCTCTTCTTCCCTCTCCCGTCTCTTCCTCTTCTCCTCTTCTCTTGGGACGCCCCGGCGGCCCCTCTCGCTTTCTCTCTTTCTCCTCTCAATCTCCCCTTCCATTCGCTCTCCTCTGGCCGGCTTACCCCTTCTTCTCTCCTTCCCTGAAGTCGGCTTCCTCCTCTGCTCGTCTTCTCTGCTCCTTTCTCTCTTCCCCCCTCTTTCTGCGCCTTGCTCTCTCTCCTCTGCATCGCTCCTGCTCTCCCGCTGCCTCTCCTGCGTCCCTTCCTCTGGATTTCTCGGCTCTCCATCTTCCTTCTCTGTTCCGTTCCTCTCTCTAGACGCCTTGCTCTCTCTCCCCTCCTCTCCTTCCTCTCTCTCCGCTCTCCTCTCGTCTTCCTCTCTTCGCATCTCCCTCCCTTCTCTCTCTCGCGTCTCCTCTCCCTTGGATAACGTCTCTGCCCTCTCCTTCCTCGTCTCTCCTCTATCTCTCCTCCATCTTCTCTTCTCTCTCTCTGTGCGCGCGCCGCCGTTCTCTCTCGGTCTCTGGGAACCTCTTGTCTCTCTCTCTGTCTCTTTCTCTCTCTTCTCACGACTCGCTCGTCGTACGTTCTCTGCCTCTCCGCCTGGCTCTCTCCCCTCTCCTCTTCCTCCCCTTCCTCTCCCTCGTCCCTCTCCCTCTCCCTTCCTCCTCCGCTCGATCGCGCTCCTCTATCCCTCGTGCACCTTCCCTCTGCTATCCCTCGTCCTCTCTTCTCTCTCCTCTTCTCGCGTCTTCGTGTCTCCCCCTCTATCCCGCGCCTCTACTCAGTCGCTCTCTCCGTAACAGATCCTCTCGAGGCTCTGCTTTCCCTATCTCGCCTTCGTTTCTCTCGTCTTCGTCTCTCTCTCTCCTCCTCTCTGAGGCTCCTCTCCTTCCCTCTCATCCTTCCCTCTCGTCTCCTCCTCCCTTCCGACCTCGTCCTTCTTCGGCTCCTTCCCCCTCTCCTCCCCTTTTCCCTTCTTCGACTTTTTCCTCTCTCTTCCTGAGTCCTCTTCGTACCAGGTCTTCATCCTTACCTTGCTTTCCTTTATCTTCCTACTCCTCATTCTTCTTCTCTTCTGTACGTCTCTCCGCTCCACCCTCCTCCCTCCTCCGCCTCTCCTCATTCAAATTCTCTCTCTCTGTTCTGTCAGTTCCTTGTCTCCATCTGTTTTCATTCGTCTCTCTCTTCCTGCCCCTCCCTCCCTCTCTCTCCTCTCTCCCTCTCCCTCGTCTAAGCTCCTCCTGACTGCCCTCCATGCTCTCTCGTCCTCCTCACGACTGTTTCTTGTCTCTAGTTCTTGTTTGCTATTTCTTTGGCTTCTTCATCTAGTGTTCTGTTGGTCTTATTTCGTCTCGTATCGTGTTGGCCAGCGATACTGTAGCGAGCGGTCCATGACAGCGTGGCGAAGGTAATAGAGGCGATATTCGGCGTGGAAAATACTATACATTATATGAAGAGACCAATATTACTATATAAGTATAATAGTATTAGTTAGTATATATTAATAGTAGATTATATATAATCTATATATACCTAGATATTTTATATTTAATATATATATTATTATAATATTATGTGAGTATATAAACATTTATATAGATTGATATACATATGTTAATATGTATATAAATGTATATAAATTGTACTATAAATATTAATATATATATTTATAATGTATAGCTATATATATAATATAGGTAATGTAATATATATATATATTATATTATTAATATATATATAGTATATACTTTACTAATATATATAGTATATATACATTTATTATTTAGATTAATATATATATATATATTTATATTATAGAATACATTATATATATAATTGAAATATATAAATACATATATATCTATAAATATATAATATATATATAATAAATAATTATTATAATATAATAGTAAAATATATATATATCATATATATATAAGTAATATATATATTGAATATATATATAATTCATTACATATATAGAATATATTATATATATAGTTAGATAGGTAATATATAAATTTACATATTATGATATAGATATACAGTAATATTATGTTAAATATATAGTAGAACAGCATACTATATATATAATAAATATTACTTGTAATTTATATATAGGTAAATATATATATATTATATATTGTATATATATTATACACAATTTAATGAGTATAGATAAATAAGTAAGAGTTTTTATATACATTTACATAATATATATATAATTATATATTATATATATATATACATTTACATATATATATATAATA